CTCTCCGAGCCTCAAACCTAATGTTTTTTTTTATCTGTGTATATAAATAAGTGGTTTCCCCCCAGAGTTTGGGCTTAGATAATTATTTCTGTCACTGTTGTATTTACCATAAAATATCTTCACTTTTTGGCAGCTATTCATTTTTCTGAAATAACACCTCAGATTCAAACCGTCCTGAGAAGCACTATTATAAAGTTTAATCAGAGCCGAGTCACTGGTTCCAGCTCTCCGACCGGGTCTTGCTTTTCTGTCTCAAGCTTTTCTTTGGTTTTGCTCAGACTCCTGGAGCTATTGGTGTAAATCTTTTCTGTTGTCTATGCAGTTGGCAGTAGGCACTTGATAAACTGCTCCAGGGAGAGTTCGGAAGCAGTAAACAGAAGTGTGTGTGGTGCTCCACAGAAGTGTGTAGGGTGCTCCACAGAAGTGTGTGTGGGTGTTCCATGTGAGAACTTTTACACTTTTTTAGTTTGAAGAGGGTAGGGGTGTTTGTTTGTTTGTTTGTTTTGCTGTGTTTCAAGTTATTGGAACCTTAAATTGGATCTGTGGTTTTCTAGAAATTCAGTTATTTGTTCTATCAGTGAAAACTGACTAGAAGTGTGAGCCAAATGTGTGTCTGTCAAGGCTGCCTACATCCTACTGTCTCAGAATGGGGACGTGTGGGTAGGGCTGTGACAGAGAGAAGCTATTGCAGAGGGGTATTGATCAAAGAAGTCCAGCCCTTTCCAGGAGGACTCTGGCTTACAACCCTGGAGAAGCACACCCCCACTGGAAGGTGCTCAGAACTAAGAGTCCTGCTAATTTTCGTAGCATCAAACTTGTTTTCCATCAGACTGTTACAAACTACTTTCTGTAAATCTTCCTTATGAGAACTGACTGGCATGTGAGGAAGGCCCCACGGAGCCCTGGCCCACCTGCTTGTGAGGGCAGCCCCCTGTGGCATAAGAGGAACAGCGTGGGCACAGTGGGAAACTGCCACTTCAGCACTGTTCTCCCCAGCTGAGCTTACCCAGACAGACCCAAAGCCTCTCTGCTGGGATCTTTTTTTCAGTACGCAAAGCAAGGCAGTGGTCAAGGGAGTGGTTTAATTTTTTAAAAAAAGAACTTGGGTTTATTTATTGATATGTGAAAACGCACGCAGAGATCGCTGTCCGTGGCAAAGGTGAAGAGTACCCTTTACCAAATGAGGGAAAAGGGGGCATGATGCAGGAATGCCCTTCTGGCTATGCTCTGGAAGGCCAGCCAGCCGCTTAGAAAAATAATTCATAGGCCAGTTAAGGCCGCTCTGACTCCAGACACATTTGTCCAAAGAAGGAGATAAGCCAGAGCCTTTCAGCACACTCGGGAAGAAAGGAGACACACTGCCCTGCCGGGAGGAGCCGCGCCAAGGAGGTCCACAGCGGAGTTAAATGAGAAAAGGGACTTTTTTTTTTTTAAAGCAGTTTAACTTCAAGACCCTTAAACATGACTCTAAATCAGACTCGTTCTAGGTAAAAGTGTTTGTGGCACCCAGGAAAACCTGGAGGAGACTGTCTGGTAAGCATCATGCTGCTGCTAAGGCTGCCGGGACGGCCAAGCCCTCTGTCCCAGGCCTGCAGTGTGAAGCTTCAGACAGCTGTGCCTTCTTCCTGTTCTCCACACCGCACTCTTAGCGGTCACGTGCTGTGTGCTGGCCTTACTCGAGGAGCTGTGCAGTTTCTTGTGCCCCCCTCTCCCCCATTCGCTTTCATCTTCAACTCAAAGCAGATTGGTTTCCCTCTCTGTTTTTTCAGCGCTCCTGTGCCACAGCATGCAGTTGGGGCAGGATGCCAGCAGGTGGCAGTAGTGTCAAAACCAAAGGCCTCACCTAAGCTGCTCAGTGTGCTGACTCCATGAGAGTATCCTTGACACTTATACCCAGTTCTTCTCCAGTTCCCTGTTAGTAACTAATGATTAACAGATTGGAATGGCAGCAATAAAACATCCGCTTAAACTGTTCAGACGCTGGGCAGCCGAGACTCAGAGGCAGATGCATCTCTGAGTTTGAGGCCAGCCTGGTCCACATACGGTGTTTCAGGGCAGCCAGGGTTACATAGAAAGACCCTGACTCAAAAAAACACTCATTCTGATTTGATTTTGTTATGTAATAACTTTGTTTCGTTTTGCTTGTTTTGTTTTTTGTTTTTGGGTTTGTTTGGGGTTTTTTGAGGTTGTTTGTTTGTTTGTTTTTGTTTTTTGTTTTTTGTGATAGAGTCTCATGTAGCTCAGGCTAGCCTCCAGCTGGTTGTGAAGTCCAGAATGGCCTTGAACTTCAGATCTCCTTGCTTCCTAATTGTTGGGATTGCAAAATACACCATACCAAGGTATATTTTGTGCATGAGAGGGTGGTGTGTGTGTGTATGTGTGTATATCTGTGCACATCAAGGCCAGGGTCAACCTCAGGTGTCACTCAGGCATCCACCACTTGTGTCGTTATAGAACTCAGCAAGTGTCCCCGGGGACCCTGGCTGAGCTGTCTCAGCCCTGTGTCGTGGATTTTTGAAAGAAAATATTTATTTATTTATTTATTTATTTATTTATTTTCAGAGGTACACATTAGAGGAATGTGAAAGAAAGAAGGAAAGAAAGAAAGAAAGAAAGAAAGAAAGAGAGAGAGAGAGAGAGAGAGAGAGAGAGAGAGAGAGAGAGAAAGAAAGAAAGGCCACCAGTGCCAGGCCGTAGTCTTCAGAATACATCCTCAGGTGGCTTCTCACAAATTGTGCTTGTCACAGCTCTAACTTAAAGGTCAGCCAGAGGCCTGGTGCCTCTGGCTGCTTATCCAGCCCTGACCAGAGATCTGTTGCTGCCTGTCATGGCCCCAATGAGCTCCATGTCCTACTTAATCCCTTACCAATCAGAAGTCTCTCCCGTGGTTAAAAGCTGTTACCATGGTACCCAAGGAGAGGAGAAAGCAGGCCCTGTTCTGTCCCCAAGCCTAAACTAGCCACTTTGCTCAGTTCTTAGAAATTTGTAGCTCCTCGTGGCACAGTAACCTTGTCATTTTTAATGTCTTCCTGTGTTTATTGTGTGCATCTAAGAGTGTGGTCAGAGGGCCCTAAGGAGTGGGTTCCAGCGTGTGGTCTCAGGGGTAGAATTCAGTTCACTAAGCCTGGCAGCAGTGGCTTTCCATGCTGGGCTGTCTTGTCACTGTAAGGACTGCAGGTCAGATCCTGTGACTTCCCTTTCAAACAATGTTTCTTGTAACCCACATGTGCATCCAGTGAGGCAGGTTGTTAAGGACCCAGTTCTGTTATCAATGTGGAATCAGCCCTGAGAGAACATAAGCACACACAGAGCCTGTATGTGATAGAGACCAGAGTCCAGGCTTTCCAGACGAGGTTGAGTCCAGGCTGGGGCTCTAATTACAAAGGACCTAAATTGGACCATGGCCCTTTGAGTATTTGAAACAAAATAGAAATCTGTATTGTATGAGCTATAGGGCTCCATTGGCTTGTACCACTGGATGATGTAGAACTTGTTATCTCAGAAGAATCCGGGATTTGTGATGGCATTGTTGGGCACCTGCAGACTGTAATGCCTAAGTGGCCACTCTGAGGAGTGAGGGAGGTAGATGACAGTGTACTAATGTAATGTGAGGTGCTTTGTAGCCATAAAGTGTCTGAACGCTTTTCTCCAAGCTTTATTTATTTTCGAGCTTCTTACTGATTTTGTATGTACCGGTGTTTGCAGATCTCAGGTGTACCAGTGTTTAGTCTATAGTAGCTTTTCCCTGCACTTTAGACAATCAAGCCCATAAGGAGTAGGACACACAGACAGACCCCACTACTTCGTGTTTGCTTTATTTTAATTTTTAGTAATGATTGTTTATTTATTTAAATCTATTTGTATGAGTGTGTGCATGTATGTATAATATAGATACATGCATGCACAGAAGAAGAAGACAGCACAGAGTCACCGAGAGTGTTCGCAGGGGTCTCAGCAACCCCGTCTTCTGTCCTGAATAGCAAACTTTATTTAGGATTTTAATTAGTAGCCTGTGGTGCCAGGATTATCAAGGCTCCTAATGCTGTTACATACTAGCTTGTGTGCTTTGTCCTGTTCTGGGCCCCCACCCTCTTTATCAGTTCCCTCAGTTCTTCCCTCTGCAGAATGAGCTGCACTGGGAGCCCAGCCAAAGCTCTGCTCACCACGAAGGCTTCATATCTGTTGGCGGTTGGTTCTAATGTTTTAAATTAATCTGGCCCCCAAAATCGGGAATCTGCATGTCCAAATGCTGAAGGTCCTTGTCCCCAATTGGTTTTTGATCCGTCAGTGAAGAGCCAATGGCCAAGCTTGGAAGGTAAACTGAGGCAGGACATTGAGATTTGTGTGGCCTAGGGACTGGGAGAGAGGAAGGAGAGAGATCGTCATGACAGGGAAGAAGAAAGACCTAAAGGCCCACAAACGTGAGAATCAGGGAAAGCGGCCACACAGGCCACTTCCCCAATTATGTTTGGGGTAGCAGAGATGAAATATAGATTTTAAAAGATGTTAATTCAGGAGTACTGGAGGGGAGTGTTTGCTAGCAGCAGGAAGGATAAGAGCTGACCAGTCATTAAGCTAGACAAGGCATATTAAAATTAACTCTGTGTGTGTGTGTGTGTGTGTGTGTGTGTGTGTGTGTCTTTCATCCAAGAATCCAGATAGTTCTTGGGTGGGTATGCACATGTGATCCGTCAAGAATATAAACATAAGTCAGTTTAACTTACTACGGCTATGCGTATCTATCTCATAGATTTGGGTGGGAGTTGGTGCGCTAAGTAATCCCAGTTGTCAAGCTAAATTCAAAGGGGCAGAAATAGCCTGTGTTCTGTGTTGGCGTGTGTGTGTGTGGGGGGGGGGATGCATGTAAGAGATCTTGATGCTGGGAATCCCACCCAGGGCCTTGTACACACACACGCACACGCACACGCACACGCACACGCACACGCACACGCACACGCACACGCACACGCACACGCACGCACGGATGCTCACCACTGAGCCGCACTCTTGGCTCGTCATCTGTTCGTTTATCTGTTGCCCTTCAACATGAGTGTTGCTTCTTGCCTTTTATAAGCAGACAGTGACTGTTTATACCACAGATTAACAGTTCATACCACAGAATCCTGGAAAGTGACACCTCTGCCCCTCGATCCTTCCGTCCACCTTCCTTTCTGAGTGAGTTACTTCTCATCACTGTACCCAAATAAAAATAGCATTGAGTAATCCAGCACTCTAGCTGGGCAGAGTTCAACATAGAGTGGGAGCCTTCTTTAAGAAGCAAAACAAAAACAGAAAGGAAAAAATAGCTGCAATACTATGATAAGAGTGGGTGGGTGTGGGTGGAGGAAGGTGTTTCCTTATCAGTGGCAGATAGTGTGTGTGCCCACTTCCTCCAGAGCACCCAGTTCTCAGAAGGTATCCTCCTTGTGCCCCCAGATTGAGACTGAGATGTCTCGGCTCTCCCAGCCTCAGTCTGACGGCCTAGCATCCACCTCTGGCCCCTCTTGCCTCCTCCCCCTCGGGTACTTGAATTGTCCATATCATGCCCTGCCTGCTTCCAGTTGTGACACACACTCAGATAACAACAGAGAGGCTGAAAGCGGACTCTGTGTCTCCTGATTTCTGTCCACTGGTGTTTCCTCTTAATCACATAGAAGCGCTCCGTTATAAGCAGAGTGTCAGGCCTGTCTGAAAGCAAGGACAGGAATTAGTGTTATCTCTGCCCGAGTACCACATACTGTCTCCACACACTGAGGTCACAGGAGGTTGGATGGAGGCTGAGCTGTCTGCTCTGCCGTGTGTGCCGTTTCACTTACCTTGGCTAGATTTGGCTCTAACTGCTGCTGACAACACCCAGAGATAGTACCTGTATGGTACTCAGCATGGTGCCTGGCACAACCCTAGAAAATGTTCCTCCCAGAAGCCTCACCCACCTCCGTCACCTCCTACCCTCCTCCTGGAAGTGCAGCCTACACTGATAATTTCTTCTCACCTGTTCTGCTTCACAGGCCCTAGGACGGTGATCCACCCTAAAGCACGAATTATTGCAGAGGCCGGGCCAATAATTATCGGTGAAGGAAACCTAATAGAAGAGCAGGCCCTCATCATAAATGCGTGAGTAAGACTCTCACTGGTGCTCTGAACTGAACGCCACGGGGAAGATTTCCCAACGGCGGCAGCTGCCCAGGAGCCTATTACAGCTTAGCTCAGGAAAGCGTAGAGAAGGGGGTTTGAGGCCTGGTTAGCATTAAGTACGTGAGAGGCCCAGAAACCAGACCAGAAAAACACTGAGAAAACCAGACACATACACACACCAGCCCTGTGTCTGGTGGTCTCCCAGTGGGACACTTTGATGCATCAGCAAACCTGTAATGGTTTCCTGAGCCCATCCAGTATCCCTGTGTTGTGCCTACCATACCGAAAACTTCTTTGGTTGGATTTCTTATGCTGACTGCATGTGAATTTAAGTCTGTTTTTCCGTGTTCCACATGGGACACACCCAGAATTATATTCACAAGTGTGGGATCCTTGTAGCGATTTAAACTTTAAAGATAACAGTTTGAGAAACTGTTAGACAGTGTGTGTTGGTACACTGGGCTACAATACCCATGGTATTTTCAAAAACATAGATAAAGTTTTCTAGATAAAATTTTGGCAAGAAGTTTAAGCTTTTACCTAATTTGTAGCAACAATGTATGGAATTTGTGTGGGAAAATATTTAGCTGTGATAAAAAGGCTGATTTTGTCTGACACTCACACAGGACGTGTGGGCATTTCTTACGGTGTGAATGCACTCCCCCAGTATTAATATTCTCTTTCTCTGGGCCCTGGTTGTGAGGTTATTCCCAGCAGCCTGTGAATCAGCAGAGATCAGCTGGCAGAGATAAAGCTCTGCTGTAGGGGACAGTTTTTTCTTCCACATATTTCACTAAGTATCCATCACTCACAGTAACGGTTTCCATTCCACAGTTGTAAATGGTTATTATGTATGGATAAGTTTCAAGTTAGGCGTGATTTTGATCCTTCTCTAGCAGGCTAAAAGTATATTGTTTTGGGACTTGTTGTTGTTGTTGTTTACAGTCCTAGAGAACTGTCCTCTGAACTTTTTTTTATTGGATATTTTCTTTATTTATGTTTCAAATGTGATCCTCTCTCCAGGTCCTCCCTCTGGAAACCTCCTATCCCACCCCCCCATCCCCCTGCCTCTATGAGGGTGCTCCCCCACCTACCCACCCACTCCCCCCTTCCTGCCCTGGCATTCCCCTACACTGGGGGACGTCCTCTGAACTTAGAATTTAAGAAATAAGGGACAGCTAGAGAAATGGCTCAGTAGTTAGGACCACTTGCTATTCTTGTGGAGTACTTGATTTCAGGTCTCTTCACACACATAGGGCGGCTCACACCCATCAGTGATGTCAGCTCTAGGGGTTCTGATACATTCTCTGCCCCCCTTCTCTCTCTCTGAGACAGGATCTCTCTGTAGCCCTGGCTGTCCTGGAACTCACTTTGTAGACCAGGCTGGCCTTGAACTCAGGCATCTGCCTTCTTCTGCCTTCCTGGGATTAAAGGTGTGACACCTCTTCTGAGGTTGTTTTTATTCCTTTACTTCTTACATTTCCATGGTTCTGTTCAGCTTAGAACCTAGCCTGCCTTCCCCAGCACAGGGGAGAGGTAGAGAGGTAATTCCCCTGGCTCAGGAACTAGGGTAGCCATGCCTTTTAAGCTTGGTGCAGGGAAAACTGAGACAGTTGCTTCAGATTCTGAAATGGGATGGCAGCTGCTTACTGTGTCATTGGCCTTTGGTGATTTATTTGTCTCCTCTCTTTATAGCCATCCAGATAACATCATCCCAGACAGTGAAGACACAGAGCCCAAACCTATGATTATCGGCACCAACAACGTATTTGAAGTCGGCTGTCATATCCTTTGCAGTAATCTGCCTCAGATCGCCTCCAGATGTGCTTGGTGCCTAGACCTCTCCCTGTATAGACACTGACATACCTTATCTGTTTCATAGAGTTAAAATATATAGACAAGGCCACCAAGCTCTTTAAACAGACTCATTGCTATATGTTAGGAAATCTTTTTTGGGGGTGGAGAGATGGCTCAGCAGTGAAGAGTACTGGCTGCTCTTCAGAGGACCCGGGTTCAATTCCCAGTACCTACATGGTTGCTCACAACTGTCTGCAACTCCAGTTTTAGGGGCTCTAACACCCTCACACAAATATACTTGCAGGCAAAACACCAATGTACATGAAATAAAAATAAATCATTAAAAGAATTTTTTAAAAAAGAAATCCTTTCTAGGAAAGAGGAGTTGGGAGTGGGAGGGAGATAATACTGGAGAGAGTCGTCCTTGCTGGGACTGGGGCTGTAGTGTAGAGCACATGGCCGCCATGCAGTTACTTCCCATCACCACAGGATCAAGAAGGCCCTCCTGTTGTGGCAAGTCACTCGGTAAGATAAATACACACACACAACAGACACATACCACACACACACAATACACACATATACCACACACACAACACACACATACTACACACACACCATACACACACACACACCACATACCACACACACTACATACACACCACACACACACCATACACCAAACACACCATATACATATACACATACACCACACACATACCACTTACACACACGCACACATACACACACACACACACACGCCTTCAGCTCTCTGAAAATCCTTTACTAGGACTGCAGCTTGTTGACAGGTAACCTTGGCTGAGGGCATTAGACATTGAGAAGCTAATTCTAGCTTTAGTTGATGCAGAAGCTGGCAAAGTGTCTCAGCACCTGCCAGCAAGCCGACTGTGTGAGTTCAGTCCCCCCGTCCCACACGGGGGAAGGAGAGAACTGACTCCCTCAGTTGTCCTCTGATCCCAACACATACACACACCTGACACATGTATGCACAGGCACAAATACCCACACGTGCGCACCAAATCAGTAAATGTAATCGTGTATTTAAAGGCATGGGGTCATTTCTTTAGGAGTGGAGGTCTTTGTGCTTGAGAAGGAAAGCTTTGTAAGCAGAGACCCCTGGCCAGGCAGAGTCCGTCTCACACCTCGTCCGGTACACTGAGGACATTCTGTATGCGTGGGAAAAAGGATTTACTTAACTCAGGCTTCCAGATTCCCAAGCCATGAAAATGGGAGACAGTAATGTCATTGAGTCAAAAGGTAAGCTGTGTCCAGAGAGCTCTGTCCTCACAGTGAGTACTTCCTTTCTCCTCCATGTGTCCAGGGAAACCGCTTAAGGACAAGCAAGGTGGCGTGCTGGGGTTGGACCAAAGTCATTGTCAGGTTAATTCTTTGCCAGAGAGGAAGCTAACCTAGTTATGTGGTTATCTGATAACGTGGCTAAGTGCATTAAGTGAAAAGGACACCGTGCACGGTTACGTTGGGCTGGACCAGAGCTCCGTGGAAAGCTCTGAGATGGACTTCAGCTGAACTGTTGGCAGTGCTGGAGCTGATGGCAGTCTTGGAGAATGAACGAGCCAGGGGCAGCTCTGCCAGGAGTTGCTATCTTTAATTTCAGGACTGCTTTACCCTAGCCAGAGACAAATGTCATCTACTTATCAAAATTAGAGCCAGGCAGGGCATTTGGGGAAGTCCCAGCACTGCTGGGAACCAACTCCCAGAGATAATCCCCTGCACTTAGAAGAGAGCACTGCTAGAACACTGCTTTGTCTTTCCTGATCCTGACTGACAGGAGAGGAATGGTGCTTTTTTTTTTTTTTTTTTTTTTAATAACAAAAGTATACTTTCTGTGAATTCGCTTAATAGTTTTTAGTTTTCATTACTGGGTGTTACCGTTGTTGTTGGCCTTCCTTTCCTGTATTTCTGAGTGTCAGACGTGGCTCGCACTCTGTGGTCACTACCTCATTGATCTCTGAAGGGAGCAGACTGACTCCCCGCTCAGACATCTTACCCTGACTTGCCCTATGCCACACTGCCTGCTCCTGTGTCTGTGCACTCACTGTGAGGCTTTTCCTCTCTGTCTCTTAAGGCCCGTTTGCGTTTGTATACCTAAATTGTAGTGGGGAAGCATAAACACAGTGAGAAGTGTCAGTACTCACCTGATGTCTTAAGTTGTAACTGTCTTCGCTGCAGCATACGTAGGCAGGAATGTCATCCTGACCAGTGGTTGCATCATCGGGGCTTGCTGCAGCCTGAACACCTTTGAAGCCATCCCTGAGAACACGGTGATCTACGGGGCAGACTGCCTGCGGCGGGTGCAGACAGAACGGCCACAGGTACAAAACCTCTCTAAAAGGGTCCATCTAGGACCCTAACTTCTCAAAGTTCCATATGACTGTCTCAGCGGTCAGCAAATGACTAGGGACCAAGGACCTGACTCGGTATGATTGCCATACAAGGCCCTGCGTTCCATCCCCAAAGCAAGTGAAGAAAACATCAGGAAATACTCCCCAAATTTTGGATTTATTTTCAGTTCAATCACAATTCTTTAGATTAAAATCATATATTCAAATATATATATTCATATATATGTGTATATATATGTTTCCTCTGTGTGTGTTCACGTGTGTGTGTGCATGTGCGCGTGTGTGTGTGTGTGTGTGTGTGTGTGTGTGTGTGTGATACTGACAGGCTGATAATGGAGGAGGATCCAGAGTTGTTTTTCCCATGCCACCACTGAATGTCACACCGAAATGTTAATTCCCTGACTCACTTCCAAATGTACATCGTGAAGATGAGGACCAGCCCTCCAACTGTCCCATGAGTTTCTAATGTAGGTTATGAAAGTGCCGTGACTCAGTTATATACACAGCTTATGAGGAAAGGAAGGATGTTTGGGTATTTATCAGGCTTACGAGAATCACCCCTTCCTAGTAACTCAAACGGAGGCTAATGCTAACTAGGAGATGAAAGGCTCGGGCGCTGGACCCCCTTAGACGGGCGGCATTCACACTGGGGCTTTAAAGCTCATGTCTTGGCACACTCGGTATAGATTTCTTAAGCTTCCTGTTCCTCTCCCCTCAAGGAAAATATTTTCAAGACATTTGATGCTTGACCTTTCTTAACCAGATTTTTACTCATAAATTAAAACCAGTTCTTTCTAGATTACTCCACTTTTCCATTCTCAGAGTTTAGTGTAGTCCCTGCTGGTCTGGAATTCACAGCCAAGGGTGACCTTGAACTTCTGTCCTTCCAAATCCAACTCCCTAGGGCTGAGATTACTGACGGCACCACTGTGCTTCATTTTTGTGGTGCTGGAAAGCAAACCTAGGGTATCCTGGGTGCTAAGGCAACCCTGCACCCCAGTGAGCTGTCTCCTCACCCCCAGAGATTACTCTTCTTTTGTAGGCTTGGCATCATTATTATGAGATGGTATTCCACAGACTAAAGGGGAAATTTAGTGGGGTTTTCTTTGTTGTTTTTTTTTTGGGGGGGGGTTGTTTTTGTTTTTAGAAACAGGGTTTCCTGTGTAGCCCAGGCTGTCCTGGAACTCACTCTGTGGACCAGGCTGGCCTTGAACTCAGAAATCCGCCTGCCTCTGCCTCCCAAGTGCTGGGATTAAAGGCGTGTGCCACCACTGCCCTGAGCAGGAAGCACTCTTAATGCTTAGAAGCCAGGCTAAATATCTAAACAGAAATTTGAGAGTGTTTTTCTGGGTGTTTTATATGTAAAATTGTCTGGCTTTGTCCTCGGACTTGCTGCATTCCATTACAGACCTAAGGCAGCAAATGGATAAAGAGAAGGAAGTGAGTGGAAGTCATGTTGAGTTCATGTGTCCCCCTGGTGTTGCTGATCTTGCTGTCTGTCCGTCTTCACGTCTTTTCAGCCACAGACACTCCAGCTGGATTTCTTGATGAAGATCTTGCCCAATTACCACCACCTGAAGAAGACGATGAAAGGCAGCTCAACTCCAGTCAAGAACTGAGAGGGTGTCGGGGTGGTGCCCCGCCTCTGCTAGCTCTCAAAGGGCCTGAGTGTTGGCATCATCCTGACTTGACACTGGGAACTTGAGCTGGAGAGAGGTGGGTCCCACTGCAACTACCGCTATAATTTATATGGACTGTATTGTTTCCCTGTCCTGTATAGACCCAGTTTTTCTTTTGTTCTACAAAATATTAGCCATGCATCTATTCTGTAAAAGACTACCCATGATAACATGTCATATTATGTGTTTATATTCTAATGTAACCATATGACATAACTAAATAAAAGTTTGGCTGCGGGGCTGGAGAGATGGCTCAGCGGTTAAGAGCACTGACTGCTCTTCCAGAGGTCCTGAGTTCAAATCCCAGCAACCACATGGTGGATCACAACCATCTGTAATGGGATCCTATGCCCTCTTCTGGTGTGTCTGAACACAGCTACAGTGTACTCATATACATTAAATAAATAAATCCTTTAAAAAAAAAAAAAAAGTTTGGCTGCTTGCATTAATCTTCCCAAATAGCTGCCTCAATTTTCATTATTAATATTCATGACTCTTCAAAGCTGAAGTTCTTACCTGGCCCTCTTGTGTATTTATAGCTGTTTAAAAATGGAGGTGAGGGTCTGGAGAGATGCTTCAGTGGTTAAAGCATCTGCTCTTCCTGAGGAGCCAGGTTTGATTCCCAGCACCCATGTGATGGTTCACAACCATCTGTAACTCCAGTTCCAAGGGATATGATACTCTCTTCTGACCTCCGAGGGCACCGGTGTGAATAAATCTAATAAAATTGTAAAACATGTCAGGGCTGGAAGATGGCTCATTCTTTAAAGGCTAGGCTCATAACTGAAAGTGCTGGTGGGATTCCAGCAGCAACTGAGTATAGACCTCAGTCTGTTTAAAAGGAATATGTATCTGTATGTTTCTTCTCTCAGTAAGTAATGGAAAGATAAGCCTTATGTACATTCAGAAGGAACGGTCTCTGATTAAAATGGCAGGCAAGTGACCACTCAGCTCTGTGTATTCCTGAGTTTCTGAGGATAATAAAACTAAGACTGGGGTCTGGAGACATGGCTCACTGTGTAAAAGCTAAAGGCACTTGCCACCGGGCCTGGTGACCTTAGTTCTATCCCCAGAACTCATGTGGCAGGAGAGAACTGATTCCCATAAGCCATCCTCTGGCCTCCACACGTACTCCATGGCACAGGTACACATGCACACACATATGCACATAAAATAAGTGTACAGATCAAAATACTAAAATATTTTGAAGCTTTTCTGTTCGTGATATTATTTTGCCACAGTACAAATCAGTAACTATTTGTATGTATAATTGCTTATCTGATTATATAGAGGGTAAAAATTAAGGACTGCATTGTAATCTGTTTTTTTTTCAATGTTGGGGCTTGAACCGAAGGCCTCATATGTGTTAAGCACACAGTCTACCACTGAGCCACACCTCATCCCCTCATATCTTAATAATCCAATACAATAGTACATACGATTAATAGAACACAACTTTTCAGTTGTGAATTTGAGGACATTAATACCAAGATACTAAATCACATGAATACTAAGATACTTAAATAAAGATAGTGTTTGATACTTAATTTTCTTGTGAATAGGACCTAGAGCTCTATCTTTATATTTCTGAGACTGGTGAAGAGATATCCAGGACATGGGGCTGGAGAGGTGGCTCAGCAGTTAGAGCACTGACTGCTCTTCCAGAGGTCCTGTGTTCAGTTTCCACCAACCACATGGAGGCTCACAACCATCTGTAATGGGATCCGATGCCCTCTTCTGGTGTGTCTGAAGACAGCAACAGTGTACTCACGTACATAAAATAAATAAATAAATCTTAAAAAAAAAAATACCCAGGACTTGGGCCAGAGTACTCAGCTGTAGTGGGCTGAACAGGGCCATGGGAGCAGGATACCACAGCACTGATGTCCAGTTTTTAAAAACTCATTCCATCTGCAGCCCTGATGGTGAAGTCAGAATTCTGTTGGACATAAAAATTCTCTCAGTAAAACATCAAAATTACAGAACCAAGCCAGGTGGTGCGGCCTGCAATCTCAGCTGCTTTGAGTGCTGAGTGGGAAGATGAAATGTTCAGGGTCTGCCTGGGCTATGTGGTGAGTTCTAGGCTAGCCTGGTCAGCTTAGTAAGACCTTGTCCCAAACAGTGAAAGCAGAGCTAAAGGTGTAGCTTGGAGATGGAGCATTTGCTGAAGATATGTGAAGGACAGCTTTCCATCCCAATGCCTGTGAAACTATTCGGGCTCTGAAATGCTCTTGGGCCATGTATTTGTTCTGTTTCTCTGCAATGCAGTTAGTGTGTGAGGGCAGCAGTGAGATGAGATACTGCCTAAGGACTCAGCAACAAAGCCCCAGAGAGTTCAACTTAAGGAATTCCTATGTAGTGCAGGGTGGGACTGTAGCGTCTGCCTAGCATTGTAGGGATGGCTCTGATGCTAAGGTCCTATTCCTCAGCTGGTTCTTGATCTGTCTGTAAAGAAAACCAGGGCCTATTGCTGGGCAGAGGTATAGGTGGGACTTTAGGTCTCTGGAAGAGAAGGAGTTCACCATGCTTTGGAGAGAGCAGAACCAGGCAGCCATGTGAGGTCTCGGGAGGAATGGTGGGCTGTGGCCACTCCTATAGATAGGTGGTCAGAAATGTTTAGCAGGGACTAGATTCAACTGACCAGCCAAGGTTAGGGCAGGTTGGAGGTGCGGAACTAAGAGTTTTGATAAGGGCATGTTTTCCAGGCGGGAGATAGTAGCGCCCAGCAATTATGCCAAGAAGGCAAGTTGAAAGCAACTGTGTGTGTGTGTTTTATCAAGGGAAGCTGGGAGCCTGGCCAGATCCTGGAGCTTAGGCAGGGTAGCACAAAACCACATGCAACATAGCATGTATAAGGCCCAGGCTTTATTTGGGTGGATGGGTGGGTGGATTTAGTGAGAAGACCCTTGGCATTTCTCACACACTCTGTAGGTTATGAAGGAATATTAACTCATCTGAGGGCAGAAAATGTGAACAGAAACAATTTTTCAAAATAGATATTAGAGAAACAATTCGGAGAATGTACAGTGTTCTGCTTGCATCTCCAATCCAGGAGCTGTAAGCTGTTCTGAAACTAGAGTTCTCTCATTTCAAAAGAACCAGCTGTGCCTTGAGATAAGAAGACTATAGCTTAAATGCATAAGAACATACTTCAAATGCAGCCAGTTTTTTTTTTTGTTTTTGTTTTTGTTTTTAAACTGTTAACCGCAGGCTTAACTGGTCCACCTTCTACTTTCAGGCCCAGCTTATGAACTTCATTCCAGACAGAGGAGGAGCTCTGGCCAGGAACACCGAATCCAGTCTGTATATAAAAACCTCAGAGGAGCTTTCTGGCTTATACATTTATCTTGTGTTAATTTCGTTTCTGTGGATTTGCCCTTGGGCTTTAAGTTTCCCAGTCTCTGAATATTTTGGTAAAATAATATTTGATCCTGCAAGATGAAAAACCAAAGTTCAGATGTTGTGCTGCTTTCTTCCCTCTGTAGTGACTAGCCTTCTGTGGTTTGCTCCCTTTGACACAACCCTGAATCACCATACTTATCCTAGACTGTAAGCTCCATGGTAGAATAAGCCAACATGCCCTGGCTGTGGTAGCAGCCAGGCAGGGAAGAAACTATCTCTTTCCCTGAATCTTACTGTACTAGCTCTTGAGTCAGGGGGATGGAGTTTACCAGTTGGAGAGTTACAGCTTGAGCCAGCAGAGTGGAGGAGGTGAGGAGGGGGAGAAGTGGGGTGGAGATGCCATAGGCTTCGTTTCTTCTCCCTTGGTGGCAGTGTGTTGTCCACTGGAAGCTCATCGAGTGTCACCTGAGAAGGTGTCTGTCTACTCTTAGCTCCTCTACTCTCCTTGGAGTTCGTGGGGTGAGGCTGATGTATCATTTCCATCTCTCGGGCTCAGCACACATGGGATGGATGGTTCCAGAGGCTTGTGGAACTCAATACCAGAAACCAACCGAGACAAAGACCAAATATTTTTGTCTTTCCCTTTAGAAATGGCTCCTAAATATAACATAAATCTCATTAGGCATCAGTTTAACTTTGTCTAGGCCTAATAGGAATTATTATTAACAAAAGCCTCAGTGAGAGAATGCTGGAAATACCAAACTATTTCTGACACTAATAAACACATTGAGTCAGCTCTGACTTTAAAACAAACTGTGTTTATTAAGCTTCCATGGAGGATCTGGAGAGGTGGTTCAGCAGGTAAGAAAGTGAACGGACCTTCTAGAGGAGCTGAATTCAGGCACTCAGCACCCACGTCAGACAGCTCACAACCTCCTCAAACCCCAACTCAGGGAGGAGCTGGAGCCTCTAGCCTCCAAGGGCTACCTGTGCTCCTTTGTACACTCCTTGCCCCCTCCATACACGTGAATAAAAGTAAGAAATCTTTATGCATGGGGCTTACTACACACACACACACACACACACACACACACATGCACACACGTACACACGCAAGCTTGTTTATTCCACATTGACTCCTTCAGTTCTTTTAATGAGAAAATAGCACCTGTAATTGCAGATGTGGAGACTGAAGCACAAAAAGGTTAGGTAACTGGCCAAGGTCCCTAAGCTTGTCAGTGACATTTGCCCCACCCCACCCCCAACCCCCCCCCCCCCCCCCCCCCCCCACCCCGCCCCCTCCACAATCGGCCATTTGCAAGTCTCCCTCGGCCTTCCGAAATCCAGATTCTGTAATTTAGTGAGCTTCCTGCTGCTAGGTAGGAAAAGGAGATTTGACTTCTTCAGCCACAGGAGAACAAAACTAGAGGAAATTTTAAAAAGAAAAAGCTATTTCATCTCTCTAATGGATTTGGTAAGAATGAACCAATCAGGGGCTCTCTTGCTTGAGGCTCTCTGACAGGATGCTGAAGCTCTGAGCAGGGCCACAGTACACAGCTGTGCTGGGACTCTGCACCAATGTTTCGCTTTTTTTTTTTTTGTTTTGTTTTGTTTTGTTTTGTTTTGTTTTTTTGAGACAGGGTTTCTCTGTATAGCCCTGGCTATCCTGGAACTCACTCTGTAGACCAGGCTAGCTACGAACTCAGAAATCCGCTTGCCTCTGCCTCTCAAGTGCTGGGATTAAAGGAATGTGCCCGGCCATGTTTTGCTTTTTAGTTCTTGGTTTCTACTGATTAGAGCGATATAATTTCATTCACAATGATTTAGGAGGTAAGGAAGAAACCTAACTTCACAGGCTACCCTGGAACACCAGCGCTGTTCATTTCAAGGGCTTTTAGCATGCAGTCCAGCCAAGCGTTAATGAACTGAAGAGCTTGGAGTTCCATCCAAAAGCTTAATCGTCCCAACC